ATTCTGTGCAGAAGCTTGCATCTTTTCTTAAATACCTTTTTTAATATGACATCTTTTCTTAATTTTTTAAAGCAGGGAGATATCTAGACCAAGGTAAATTTTTAGTTTTTTTAGTCTTCTTAAAGAACCTTCTAACCATTGTGGGGTTATGCTAATTTATTGAGCAACCTTCTTGGCACTTATTAAATTGATAAGAGCAAGGATTATTCTTTTTTTCCTTTTCTGTCATTTGGGTTCGTGGCATTTCAAAGAAAGTCTTTTTTTTTTTTTTGAGCTTGGCATGTCGATGTCAAAGGATTAATATTATCGAACCGTTTTTCAAATTTCCTTATTTGGAAGGTGTTAAAACGAGCAGTTAAAATTAGGGTTAGGGTTCGGGTTAGGTTAGCATTAGGTTAGGGTTAGGGAGCAGTTATATAGGTAAGACAGGTTTAGACACTCGTTTCTTTTATTTTCGGCTTTGTTTGCTTTTTTTCGTTTCATAAAAATTTCGCAATTTGATTGGTTAATCCATGTAGATCTCCCAAATAAGGAAATCGAAAAACGGTTCGATAATATTGGTCCAATTGATGTTCATTTATTTATATATAATACTCAAACGCATAAAAACTTATTAGCTAATCATAAATCATATGAATACATATTTATTACATGGGCAATCAATAGAAGAGGAAAAGAAACGGTTTAAAATATTGGCTGATTTAAATTATGAAAGTTTAGTACTAAGTTTTAAAAGTGAAAGAGTTTCACAAATAGTGTGGTTATATTTTGTTAATAAAATTAAAGGTTCTCTGATTTTTTTTAAGAATTACAAAGGTCTTAAAGTTCTAGACAATCATCTATGCTATTTATTATTATGTGTTCATTAACTGTGTTTAATCTAATTTTTTAGCATGACAAGACCTATATTTATAAAGTATCAAATTGATTTAAAGCAAAAAAAACAAATATATAAACTGACTATTATGATCTTCAGACCTTAACCCTATAGAAAATATTTAGAAAATTGTAAAAAATAATATCTGGATTTACAAAAACTTTTTAAAAGTTTAAAGAAGTCTTAAAGAAAGAGTAAGTAAAGCTTGTTTAACAGATAGTAGGCTAATATTTTATTATTCAAACCAAATATATATTAATAATTTTTTTTAATTAGTATCACATACTAATATAAAAAAAAAAATAAATATTGATAAGGCTTTAACTAAGTTTATTATTTAAACCTCTTTCTATAACTTCTTGTAAATTATTTAAACCTTTTTCTATAACTTCTTGTAAATTATTTATTAATTTTATTCAGGTGCTTGATCTTTATTATGAACTTCTTTTTGATTTAAATTTAAAAATATATTTATCAAAAATCAAATAAATACAAGGTTGTATTAAATTTCTTTTATTCAAAAGTATTGCTTTTATTTTAACTACTGATTTGTAGATAGCTCAAAACAATAATAGTAATATTGAAGTTATATATATATAGATTACTTTAAAATTTGAATTTAAAGACATTATACTTGGCATAAAAGAAATTAAATATTTATATAAAGAAATATTAATTGCAACTAAGTTGCAAGAGATAATTAAAAATAAAATTTAACTAATAAGATTTTTATAATAACTACTAATAAAAGAGTGAATATAATTAAAGCAATTAGATATATAAATAGAATAAAGCATTTATCTTATATTTTATATACTTTGCAGTTAGTTGTAGAGAAAGGTCTTAATTTTTTTAAAATTTTGATTACATAAGCCAAAAGATTAATTTACTTTTTTATGAGTCCAAAACAATCAGAATAGCTTGCTAAAACACAACATTATCTAAAAGTTCAACAAAAGATATATTGATCAATAATTATAAATATTTGTATACAATTGCTAATATATTTACTAGATAGAACTTATTTTACTTAGCTTGGTTTTGCCTTTTAAAACTTAAATATGCAATTTCTATTATGCAAGTTAATTTAGCAAATAAGACAGATCAACAAAGCAAAAAAGGTTATAAACAGTTAAAGTATATTATCTTAACTAAAGATAAGTAGCTTTTATTAGCTAATCTTACTAATATTCTACAATATAACAAATTTGTTAGATAGTAGCCAGTATTTTATATTATCTTTTATATATATAGCAATTATAATAATCAAACAAAATTTAAATATAGATACTAAAATAAAGATATGGATTATACTTACTTATTTAATACTTTTAACGATATTATAATCAAATAACAGAAAAAAAAAACAAATCAAAAAAATTAATAATTCTCAGATTACCAATAGAGCTTTTAACAAAGTTAAATTTGCTCTTTTAAAAGCTTTAAATTACAATGAAAATTTTGGTTACCGTACTTAACAATTATTGTGTTGTTATCAGTAATTTAGATAGTATTATGGTAGGTTTATGTTGGATTTATTGTTATTAGTAGAGGTTTGCTAAAAAAGTAAATAAATTAATATATTTGTTCGCTTTAATTTTTATCAAAGCTATCGATCGCTATTATTTTTTAAATGCGAAATTTGCTTCTCGGCCATTACAACCTTTATTCTATATTAGTTTTATATTTGTTGGTATTGAAAATCCAAGGTTTAAAATATTGCCACTATGTAATACTGTAAATTTTTCGAATAAATTATTTGAAGAACCAGAATCTTGTTTTTGAGTTTTTAATAAATCTTATTTTTCTGGAAGTTTCTTTGTTACATTTAATGAATGACTCAACTAAATCAACACAGTCTTCTTTGCAATTAGTACATTTTTTGGCGAGGCGTTGTTCGATCATGTTTATCAGGTTCAGCAACTTTTGTAAGGGTTTAAACGGGCTTTTTATCCCACGAACATGAGACATTGTTTTGAAGAATTTTCTTATTCAATTTTTTTTTTTTTTTTTTTGAATTTTGCAATCATAATACTGAACATTTAAATTACACAGTCAAATAGTAATTATAACATAATGTATTAAACCATTTTTTTATTCTTTAACAGATTTAAATCAAACAAACATGATTTTTAAGATCGTGTTTTAAAGCATTTGCTATCCCTAGTAGGGATGGGTTCGACTACGAACGGCTACGATTATTCATAGCCAATTTGCCAAATACTGAGATGATTTTTTGTTCTTGAGCTTTTAAATAAAGTTGTTCAGAACTAAATTCTGCTCATACCAACTTATAAGTTGAAAGAACGATACCTTCCCTGGAAATTCTGCCCATACCAACTTATAAGTTGAAAGAACGATACCTTCTCTGGAACTCGGAATTTTAAAATTTGTTAACGTCATAGCCGGCTACTAGCCGCCGGCTAATAGTCGGCTATGACGATAACAAATCTTTAAATTCCGAGTTAGTTCTGAACAACTTTATTTAAAAGCTCAAGAACAAAAAATCATCTCAGTATTTGGCAAATTTGCTATGAATAATCGTAGCCGTTCGTAGTAGAACCCATCCCTAATCCCTAGTCATAGGTATAAAAATTAGATACATATTATTTCATCGACAGCTTAGTTCACTGGAATTAATTCACAAATAAGGTTATTTTACAGACAACTTGTTCGTCGACAAGTTCATTTCACCGACAGTTCATTTCACTGACAAGTTCATTTTACCGACGGTTCACTTCGCAGACAAATTACACTAACCTTGACTCTAATTTTAACATAGCCCTAACAACAATGACCAGAATTACTTTGTGAAATGAGCTTTCAGTGAAGTAAACTGTCAATGAATTAATTTTCGGTAAAATAATCTTGCCTGTGAATTGGGTGTTGGTGAAATGATTTTTAATGAAATGTACACCACCGATAATAATGCTAATTAACTTAAATATTTGTTTGGAAATTTAGTAGTATTGTCAGGAATTCTATAAATCCGTCCGATATTTTAAGTTACTTTGGTTATACATCGTAATACGATAAAAAATACATATATAGAATTAAGAATGCTTATATTTCTTTGAATCCTTTTCAAATTTTATTTTCATATTAAGATAATTTATGTCATTAACTATAGAAAATGTCACATTTCCGAATCTATTATATAATACAACATCATCTAATCGTAAGTATATTTCTATTAAAAATCATTTATTATTTCGCTTTTAGGTTCTAAATATCAAAGTTGATTAATAATTACAGAGATTACAAATAGAATTTATTATGCAATGATACAGTTTATCCCAGATCCTTATGTTTATGTAAAGGAAGAAAAAGAGCAAAGGTGAATAAATTTAAATAAATCAACACTTATTAACAGTTTTATAAATAATAATGATAGGAGCAAATCCGTAAGTAGACATATTATATATTAACCCTTTACAAACAAATAATAAGTATTTTTTAATTGTTACTCATGAATAAATAGGTTTAAGTTTATTAGGCATTATAGGTGGTATTTGGAATTTCATGGTAGCTTTTTATGCATATTTATTTGTTAAGTTATTAACATTTTAAAGATAATTATAATTGAATAATTAATTTATTATTCTTCTTTTTTTAAAAAACTATTAGGGTTTCTCCATGGGGTGTTGCAAAAAATTGAGGTCATTTAGACATAAGTATAAAAAAAAAGCTTTTACCATTTGCAGTGGATTTACAATCTGGCGAACCTGATACTGGAGAAAAATCTAACACCAGAGAATATGAGATTTTCTCAATAGAAAAACAAATTGATAATTTAAAAAAGAGTGTTCAATTTTATGAATATACTATTGATATTTCATTATTAAATTCTATTAAAGCAGATATTATTGACAATAGTAGTTCTCCTTGATGAGAAACAACGGAAAAAAGGATATAGATACTAAATGAAGTTTAAATCTTAGAATATGTAATATTACACTTGTAAAAAAGTCACATAGCACATAAAGAAACACATTATTTGATCTATACACTAGATGTCAATCAAAATGTAAATATTATTTTATCACATTTTATTTATAGTAGCACTTAGTAAGTTTATTTATTTGTACAATTTACTTAATACGTACTGATATTAGGAGGTTCAAAATTAAATCCGAGAATCTTATTTTATTTTTCCAACTTGTAATTCAACATAATAAAAATGCTATTGAAAAAATCTTATTTATTTTCGAAAAAATGCGTCACCTATTGATAATTTTGAAACCCCATTATGGTCAATTTATAAATCGCTCATTATTATATTATTCATTGAGTATACATTTGTCAGGTATCTACAATACTTATAATAACGGCTAAGCTAGCGATCCCAGCTGGTCAAAATTTTCGACTGGCTAAGTTACTGACGTCGGCAGGCGTCAATTCGGTTATCAACAATTTTTGTAAATATATTAATGCGAGCTTGACTAGTTGTAAATAAATGATTTTTTTAAAATTTTGAGTAAAGACGATTTTTTTACGAAAGTTCAAATAAAATTTTACAATTTAGAATTGAATGTAACGATTTTACAGCGATAGAAGCTGGTTAGCAAATTATTATTTTCTTTATGATTAGTAGAAACACCCGAAATTTCCAATTTTACTTGGACAATTACAGCCAACTTTCATGTACAGTCGTCCTCCTCTACAGTCATCTAGTCACTCCCTCTTTATAAGCACCATATTTTGAAAAATTATTGTCAATATATTTATTAAAAAAAATTCTACATAATCACATTACTATTAAAATTTTATAATCACATCTTTTTAGTAAAACAAACTGCGTGATTATAGAGGAGGATTACTGTATTAGAAAAGCGAAAATAAGAAAAGTTTAAGAAATTTTTATTTGCAAGGGAAATAATTATATTTATTCGCAAAAAAGTATGAAATGAAATTTGAAAAAGAACGATAAAAATAAAGTATTCGAGTATGTAATTATATACATATACTATATATTATGTTATACCTTAATTTCGTATTAATCTATGGTTTATTACTTTATTAGCTAGTGTACTTTAAGGCATGTAAAGATCGTTTATTAATCAATTATTTAAAATAATATTTTAAGTTCACGAATATTTATCATTAGGGTATCTCAAAATAACGTATTTCGATGCAATCACTATAAATATACTTTACTGTGCTCTTCAAATTACTGTGATCGCCTGATAAAAATCTAATTTAGTATCAAGAAATGAAAATTCTTAATGTACCCATTTTGTTCGATTCATCAGTATTGTTTCTAGTAGTAGTATGTTAAATATGGTTGTTAATTTGACAAAACAATATCAAAATTTCCAGTAATTGTTTTTTGCTGGTGGGAATTTTGATATCATTTCGACAAACCATCAGTTCTAACGTGTAATATTGCGGAATCAGGAATCCCGAGAATCTTTATTATTAGATACTTGATTAGATTTATTTATGAAAAAAACGCAGAAATTTTCGGATTTCTTCATAGTGAACGACCATTAGGCGATCATAGTGAAAAATACGATAATTAAGTCAAATTACTAATATATAATATCTTGCGTTGAGGATATACATATTATTTAAAAAGTTGGTCAAATAACAGGTACATGATGCATTGAGAATTCTACATCCGAAATATTCAGAAAGTAATTGTATGAATATAAGGTTCTTTATGTATCAATTAGTATAAGAATATGTATCAGATATTCTAGTTTTTAACCATAAAATATTATTTTAAAAGGTCGGCATCATAATTATTTAATAATTCTTCACTCTTTTCCCAAAGCTTTTTAGCCAAATCTTCATCTAATGCCTGATTGTTTGGTTTTACTTCTTTATAATTCTCAAAATACTTTCCACCTTCATCGATGTTTGGGTCTAAAGCAGGGTACATTACATTTATTGCACCAATATCGGGTGATTTAGCGAACAGCATGACAAAATCTTTAATAAATGAACTTGGACCAATATTTGTTGATATAAATCCTGGATCACATGATGCTGACGTAACGTCTGTAAAATCAATAATACTGTAAATTTGAGTTATACTAAGAAAAAATTTACCACATGACAAAGTTGATAGAACTACTTACTTGAACCTTTAAGGCGACGATTAAGCTCATTACTATATATAACATTCTAAAAAAATTTTTATATACAAATCAATCTTAAAAAGAATATATTATATAAAATTTTAAATGTACCAATTATTCACTAACCATTAACTTTGTGTTCGGATATATTTCAAAAAAGCCACAAGATTTTTCACCATTAAGATTATCAAAATCAATTT